GGTGGTCAACACAGATCTCACTTCGGTGATGGCTGATAGGATCGTGTCTCCTCAGAATGCTTTCCTTGTCTCTCCTTGTCTTCACCTCTCTCTCTCCGTTACACAGCAATCTACCCTAGCTCACAAGCTCGCAGTGGTTCGTCTTGCCAAGCTGGCAATCCTGACAACTCGTTTCCCTCTAATTCAAGACAGCGCGATGGCGTCAGCAGAGCCATCCCCTCCCGCTTCCCTGCAAGCATCTGTGGTGATCATCAGCAACGGTGTCAGCGGCCTCACTCTCGCCCTCGGTAGGGAAGGAAGGATTTCCCTCCTGGCGTGGATTGCAATGCGTCGAACAATGAGCTATCTTCTGGTTGTGTGTCCTGTAGACCTTGCCCGGCGGCACGTCGATTGGCTGCTGGTAGACACCAGGGCGACGGAGGAGGCCACGCGTGGCATGCTGAGCCGGGCGCTCAGCAACTCGGAGGTGCTCGATGACGGAGATCTGCCGGTGCTTGAAGAGGGCGGGAGGGCGGCGGTGCTGCACAAACAGACGATGGACATACTGCAGAGTGAGTGACTGCAGTCAGTCAGCCAGCCGGGCCGACAGACAAGACAGCCGTGGATGGGATGAGAGAGAGATTCCTCTCTTATATATTGCACCATATAAATGCTGTCTGTCAGACCTGGGTGTGTCTGATGATGTGTTGAATGCCGGGGAGGCCCTGACGAGCGAACGGCTGATGATCGACGGCAACGTCACGGCAGACGCGCACTTCAACTCGGACGCAAACCTCACAGAGCCTGTGGTACGTGACATACGTGGCCAGACAGACGCCCACAATCGCTCGCTCCAATCATTCAGTCACTCATTGGCTGCCTGTTATGTGTGTGGTCGCTCTGCTCAGGTGGTGAATCTCTCATCAGTTGAGACGATTCTCACAGACCGGCTTGCGCAGCTCGGCCAGGCAGACCGCATCCACCGCGGCCTCACCATCGACCACCTCAGCCTCGGCGCCACCCCCACACAGGAGCTCATCAACCTCACTCTCGTGCCCGTGACCGCATCCCCAACCACCCCTGCAGCAACAGCTGCTGCTGCTCGTGGGTCCCCCACAGCCCCACCCACACCTCCGCCCATTCCCCTTAGCTGTCGGTGGGTTGTCGCCTGTGACGGCCGGCGGTCGATTGTCAAGCAGAAAGTGGCCAAGCTCAAGGAGTTCAAGCGGGATGAGCCGGGGGAGACCGAGACGGCCGCAGAGGAGCAGACCCCCGCTCCCCACCAGCCCCCCTCTCTCTCCGCCAACCCGCTGCTCGCATTCATTCCCCGCGCGACCACACCGCCCCCGCCGCCCACCGAGTTCGTGGTGGCCGACATGCAAGTCAACTGGCACGTGCCGCTGGCGCGCAATCGTGCCCACGTGCTGGTTGGGAGCAAGGGGGGCGGGGGGCTGGTCACTGTGGTGCCCATCGACGATGACTCGTGGAGGACTGTGTCGTGCCGTCCGTCGCGGGATGTGGCGGGGAGTTTGCAGCTGATGCCAACCAAGGAGGAGCTGCAGCTCATTATCAGCATTGTGAGTAGTGAGAGACATGCATGAGGGAAGGAAAGTTCCCCATCCCTCTCTCCATCCATCCATCCATCCATCCATCTGTCTGTCTGTCTGTCTGTCTGATGTCCTTGGTTTAGGTGTACCCCGGTAGTGTGATTGAGAGGGTGGACTGGGCGACCTGTGTGCCCATCCACGACAAGTACGAGTGGACCTACGACCTCGCCCGGCGGGTGTTCCTCTGCGGAGACGCTGCTCAGCTGCGGCTCCCATTCCATGATCAGTCCATCAACGCCGCCATACAGGTGCAGCACACGTGACGCAGATACAGGAGTGAGTGTGTTTCTTCGGTGTGTATTTGAGGGGGGGGGGTGTGTGTGTGTGGTGCAGGATGGCTTCAATCTGTCGTGGAAGATGGGGCTGGTGCTGGGGCAGCAGATGCAGCCGTCGCTGCTTGACACATACGCCAGAGAAATGCTCATCTGCCAGGGTGAGTTGAGTTCCCCTACCTGCCTTGCTTAAGCGATGCTCGTTAAGTACTGATCTCTTGCTGCCTACTATCGTTGTGGCTTCTTCTCTGCAGCGCTGCAGCGGGCCAAGGCGCTGAAGTACCGGGAGTACTTTGAATCAGGCACACTCACACACACACACACACACGTAGAAAGAGCTGACGTGCAATCTGATCTCTATTGGTCCCTTCGTTCTTTCTGTCTGTCGTTCTGTCGCTCGTTGGTGTCAGGTGCGTTGGCGTACCGGATGTGTCTGCCGCTGCTGCCGTACGTGGCCCTCTGCTGCCAGGCACAGAACCCTTGCGAGTGGCTGGGGCCCACACTCACGTCACTCCAGAAATATCGACCGCTGCCGACCAAAGACAGGTAGGTAGGGACACAAGACAGGGCAAGACAAGACAAGACACCACAACTGTGTCTTGTCTCACTGTCTTATGTCTGTGCGTGTGTGCGTGTGTGCGTGTGTGTGCCTTAGCCCCCTGTTCGGCCAGGCGGCCACCATCAAGGGTGCGGTGCAGCCGGGCGCTGTCGCACCCGACGCCAAAATCGCTCTGGTGTGTGCGACCTACACACCCACACACCCTTCATTCACCCAATGCATTGCTGTCTTTCTCCACTCACAGGTGCATGAGGGAGAGGTGCGGTTCACACGACTGCTTCAGGCGATAGCCGGTCCGCTGCACACTTTGGTGCTGGTGCTGCGTGTGCCGGCGAGCGCGTCGGGCGGGGGGTCGATGCTGTCTGCATCTGGCGGGCAGCACCGGTGGTCGTCGTGCCTGGGCACCTGTGTGGTGGGCGTGCCGCCACCTGTCACTCTCATGGACCAGTGCGGTGACGACACCACAACCGGTCAGTCAGTCAACAAACAGACAGAGCACACAGCACAGAGAGATAGATGGATGGATGGATGCATGTGTGTGTGTGTCTTGGCCTGTTTATCCATGTTATGGGTGTGCAGAATCGTCCAGGATCCACCTGACGGGCGGTCTGCAGAGTCTGCTCTCCCTGGCGTCTAAGGCCGTCACCCGGTCCACCAGCAGCCACCGGGGCGTCAGCTCCACCAACACCACCATGACCAGCACCGGCAGCATCGACTCACCGCCTGACTCATCGGTGCAGCAGCAGGAGGTCCAAGACATGCAGCAGCTGATGCGCCCGCCCCCCCCTCCTCTCCGCATCATGCTGCTCTTCACGGCTGGCCGGCCGTCGCTCGTGCCAGTGCTCGACTCACGGTCTGCCCTCACCACCGCCAACACCAACACGAGCATCACCACCAGCAGCGGCAGCACACCCCCTGCAGGCACCGCCGCACCCACACCAGGAGGAGCCTCCAGCGGCAATCTTCTTGAACAGATAAACACCAAATTCAAAACCAGGTCCGTTTGTCTGTGTGTGTCTGTCTGTGTGTGTGTTTGTGTTTGGATGGGTGTGTGTGTGGAAATGCGGTGCCATGCAGCCTCGGTTCGGTGGGGCCAGATGTGGGTGGTCTGCAGAGCGCGTGGGACGTCGAGGGCGCATTCTGGTCGGCCATCCAGCCAGCTAGCCAGTCAGATACATGACCGTTATCTGATTGATGCCACCACGCCGAAACGGATCGCTCCCTCCCTCCCATGCCGATGTGTCCGATGTGTGTGCTCAGGGACATGTATGGGCTGGGCGTGTGCCCACTGAGCAGACTGGAGACGGCGTCCTTCTGCCTCATCCGACCGGACGGCATCCTCTCCCACCAGGGTCAGTGCAGTGCATTGGAACAAGCCTCTAGGTGTGGTGTGGCGTGGTGTGGTGTGGTGTGGATGGACGAAGGACTGACTTGTTTGGTTTGCAGGTCGTGCGGATGACGTGGTGGCGGAGAAGCAGCTGCTGGACTGTCTGGATCGGTGCTTCGCCAACGGCCCTGCTCCGGACAAGGACGAGACCATGCTCAAGGCACCGATATCATTCCCGTGACTGACGACATACCGACAGACATACCAGCCAAGCCAAGCGTGCGCGTGTGTGCATGGTACATGGTGTGCCTGTGAAGGTAGGAGGTGTGTGTGTGTGTGTCTTTTGCTTGCTACGGGTGTGTTGACTGCGTTGTGTTGTGTTGTGTTGTGTTGCGTGTGGGCCATCCATTTCGACGGTAAGGTAAGGTACGTTGGCGTAGTGGTGGGGCTTTTATCACGGGGCAGGTAGGTACCTTATCATCGGATGCTCGTGGGTCCGTCAATTTGCTGGGGGTGGTGGGGGGGTGGGGGGGTGTTACTTGAACGGCCTGCGCACCGACGAACGTCTGTGTGGCGACGGACAAACAGAGAGAGAGAGAGAGAGAGGGGGGCAATCTCAGCGGCCCCTGAGCGTGGACCCCTCTCCCTTTTCGCTTCATGGTTGCCCGCGTGAGTGATAGTGTTTTCATGTCATGGTCACCTTTATCGGTGAGTGAGTTGGGTTGTGCCGCCTGTCTTGTCTTGCTGTCTATCCGAGTGTGTGTCTCGTCAGTGATTGTGCAATGATGCGGCGATGCAACGCATCAGTCAGTCCAGCCATCCATCCATCCATCCCATCAGGGCCATTTGTTTCCGTCTCCTCCCTCCGTGGTTGCGTATGGGTGTGTGTGGTGTGTGGTGTGTGTGATTTATAACGATTTATGAAGGACAGATAGAAAAGACGGGCCAATCGTGGGGCTGTGGTGGTTTTGACATGCAAGCTTGGGTGAGACAGATGAGCTGGGTTTCAATGTCCGCCCCCATTCTCCCCATTTGTGAGCTGTCTGTGGTGTCTGTCTGTCTGTCCGTGGTGTGTCTGCTGGAGTGGACACACACAGACTCTTGCCCGTGTCCGTCCACTCAATTCATGGTCGACCATGTCCTCAATCAGTGGCTGTTCCCAGATCGGTCCACACCGCAGGAATAAAGGTACTATGATGAAAACACTTGTCAACCAACCAACCGTCTCTGCGCCTCTTTCTTGGTCATTCGTGAGATCCCGCTGCTACATCCAGAGGACGGCTATGGCCATGCACGGCCGTCCTCTGCATGCAGCACCGAAGACGCACGCATGACTGACAAGGAGGAACGCGCTGACGCAACAGCCACTCAACCACTCACACCCAGCACAAGCACACCGCACCCCCTGTCGCTCATTCAGTCGGTCGATCGACCCATCTGTCCGTCCGTCTTATCTGGGCGTCACCGACTGCTGCAGCCTGCTCTGAATCAATGACGACAACAACTGGATGGCGTCAGCAGCGTTCGGCACACCATGGCCGCTGCTAGTGCTGCTATTGCTGTTGCTGCCAACACCAGCACCAACATGATCACCGAAGGTCACGCCACCACCCCCGACACCCCCGCCCCCAAGCCCAGCAACGCCATTTGCCGACACCAGCAGCCGCAGCGCATCCAGCAGGTCAGGCTGCACTCCACCGGCCGGGGAGCTGCCTGCGGCTGGCACACCACCGCCACCCGCAGCCGCCTGAGTCGGATGAACGATGGCCTTCACCAGCTCGGCCGCGAGAGGAGGCACCATAGGGGCAGCTGCCGGAGCCGGCGCAGAGGCGTGGCTGGGGGAGGGCATCCCATGGATTGCGAAGGGAAATGAAGACCCTACGCCGGCTGACGCCATCGACGCCCCCGGAGAGGACGGCCAAGCCGGCAGTGACATTGGTGGTGGGGGCGGTGGCGGCATCGGGCCCGTGTCGAAGGATGGAGGCATGAGAGACGGGGGGCCATGGGAGGGGCGGGGAGAGGGGGGATGCATGGGCATGGGGTGTACTGGAGAGGACGCGCCGATGGCCCCCATGGCCGGTGGTGCTGGCGGTAGCGGTGGTGATGGGTAGACGGGGGGCGGAATCGCTGGAATCGCTGGAATCGTTGGCACATGGTGGTCGTCCCTCCTCCCCTCCGCCCACAATGACGCCACATCCATGTCCTCGTCGGCATCATTCGCCTCGTTCGCCTCACCCTCTGCCCTCGACGGCTCTGGTGGAGGTGAGGGAGGACCTTTCCTCTCTCTCACCGCCACCGGGATCGGCAAGATCTTCGGCATCGGGAATTTGGTCCCAGGCGCTCGGGAACACTGAGCCTCCTTTGATGATGCCGTCGAAGAAGGGGCAGGGGGAGGGGGCGGAGGGTTGGCGTTGAGTCGGACGTTCTCCGTGTCGATGAGTCGGTCCCACTGGTCGCGAGGGCCCTTGAGGCCGACCATGAAGCTGCTCTGCTTGTCGTCGAAGTCGACAGTGAACAGGTGGCGGTTGGCGAGGATGAGCTGGCCCAGCCGGTTGTTCTTGGACAGCCCTGCCGGACGGGGGAAGTGATGACCCAGAGACCCTGGTGGCCACAGACACACACAGACACACAGAGGAGAGAGCGAGCGACAGAGAGGTCGTATGTGTGTGTGTAGGTGAGCGGGTGTGCACGTCTGTGTGCTCACCGATCCACTCTCGGCGGCGGGTCTTCTGCAGGTACTCCCCCACCTGTCGCAGCCACTCCTTGGCCGTGCTGTCCGGCGCCAGCGCCACGTCAGCCAGCCTCAGAAACTGCCGCCCACCCGCACCACTCGACAGAGTGAACCGCTCCCGACACACAGGATTCGACTTCACGAAGTGCTTCAACGCGGGCAGCGCTGGGAGAGCCGACGGCGAGGCGGCAGACGACGGACTCGACGGCAGTGGGTTCGGACAGGCCTGCTCCGCCATGTCCATGCTGCACGGCCGGCGCTCGGTCCTGCCTCTCAGGTACTCCCCCAACATGCGCACCCACCACGACTGAATCTCCTCCATCATCCTCGCACGCTCGTCGTCACCGCCTCCCTCGCCCCTCAGGTACTTGGGTCCTTCATACTTGGCGGGGAGGTGCCTCCTGCTGTCCCACTCGGCGAAATCGAGCTCGCTGACCCGCCGGGTGAGAGAGATGGTGGCGGAGTTGGTGTTGCTGGTGCTGCTGCTGGTGCCGCTGCCGGCGGGGGCGTGCTGAGGGCCGCAGACTTCGAAGACGGTGCGGTGCAGTGGGGCGAGGGCTGTGGGGAGAGGGCCCAGGCAGCTGGTGCTCACGTCGGTGAGACGGGCCTCGACCGACCGGCTCGTTAGCCTGACACAGACACACAGGCAGACAGACAGACAGACACCCCTTGTTCGTTCAGTTTGCTGGCTCTCTCTCTCTCTCTCTCTGTGTGTGTGTGCGTGTGTGTGGTGCTGGTGTCTGATAAGTCAGTCACCTGAACAGCCGGTTGGCGATTCGGTTGAGGTGCCGCATGATGGCCTTGACGGTCAGGGTGCCCGCTGGGAAACACGCAAGCAGACGCGCAGTCGTGTAGGCCACCAAGAAGCTGCACCCACCCACAACCAAAGCAGCCACACAACCAGACCAGCCATATATCACCACACCCACAGACACAGCCACCTCCCTTTAATGCTTTCGCTCACCGCAGTTGCTCGTTACTCAGGTCGTCGACATCCATCTGATGGCACGGCGGCGGATACACCCACCCGAACCGCGCAGACCTCAGCGGCCCACCAGCCCCAACACCACCCCTCCCCCTCCCCCTCCCACCGTCCCGACCATCCTCATCGAAATGGCCGCTCTCCCACGGACAGGTCTCCAAGTGATTGATGGCAATGCCCGCTGGGGCACCATCACCAGCAGGAGCAGCACCAGCCGACAATGCCGCAGCAGTGTTGCGACGCTTCTTCTTGGAGCCCTCCTGCCGCGTTGTTGGCGGCGGCTCGCATCTCTTCCCGCTGCTGCTGCTGCTGGTGGTGCCGCGCCTGTCGTCACTGCTGGTGCGGGGGGGTGGGGGAACTGTGAGGGCAGGGTCGCAGTGCTGCTGGGTGCTGGGTGGCGGGTGCGACGCAGGTTGGCATTCACCGACATGAGTGTCGCAGAGACCGCTGTGAGAGGCCGCCTCGGGCATGCACTCGGGTGCCTCGTCGTCACTCAACTCGCCCTCCTCCCTCTCGATAGCAAACGCTTCTGACTCGGTCATCGGCTTGGCAATGCTCTGCTGAGACTGAGGCTGGGGCTGATTCTCCTGTGCTGCGGCAGGCCTGGGCTTGTCGTCCTCGGTGAGTGTGACACTGTGCGATGGGTGAGAGGCGGCGGGAGGATTCGTGGCGAGGAGAGATGCATCAGCCGCTGCCTGGGGAGGCGAGCTGCCGCTGCTATTCGTGTCGGTCATCCCCCCTTTTCGTTTTTCCGCTTCCAAACCCTGCGAGCTCGCGATCCACGCTACTTGGCGATGAAGTGACGATGTCACTTCTTCCTGCCCGTCCTCGAGTCGAGGCGCGGCAGGGATCCGCCGACGACGCGCCCCCGAACGGAGTCGTCTTTCGAGCGGAGTCGAGGGGTTCCCATCCTGCAACTGACCCGTATCTAGCGGATGGAGCTTCCGGCGCCGAGGGGGGACGACTCTGCGGCGTGGGGGAGGCCCGGGGTGGCGCATCTCAGGAGCGACTCGGCCAGATCTACGACTTAGTCCAGCAAACGACTCGTATTCAGCGGACGGCCGTGGGTTTCGGTCTGGAGGCCTCGTGAGTGTGTTCCTTGGGTTCCTCTGTGCATGTGGAGCGTGCGTGGGTGATTCCTGTTGCGTGTCGTCGTTTGACTGTGCGTGAAAGACATGGGACTTGGCCGTCAGGCCGCTTAGGACATTCTGTGAAACCGCTCCCCTCGCGAGAGGAATGCCGAGACGGCAAGTCTGACGAGCAGCTGTTGGAGCTCTCACCCTTTCTGTGCTGATTCGCATCACGAAGGCATCACGAAGGCATCACATCGGGCAGTGCCACTTCAGCAGTGGCCTTCGCTTACAGTACACCGTCTGTTCACCTGCGCACCGCCAGAGGTGCATGCGCATGCAGCCGGAGGTGGTCAGCATGAAGGCAGCAGGCCGCTCTTCGCGCCTGCACTCCCCCAAGAAGCTCTCTGCGAATTCCCATTCGACAGCGCGTGAAGAGGTGGCAGCCTTGCGGGACATTTCGGCAGTGCAGGAGAAACGGCGGCAGTTCGAGAGGACGACAGGCAGCAAGGGCAATGGCAGAACCAGCCCCGGCAGCCGCCATTTTGCCGTGACGGTCGCGAACTCAAAATGTGGCCAGTCGGTGCCGCCGCTCCCGAGCTGCAGCACCCGGCTCACGTCGACCAATCTGCTCAAGACCGTCCCCCGCACCCCAGAGGAACACGCATGTTACCTGAGGAAGCAGCGGGAGCTGGTTTACCGGGCCGAGAGGGAGGCCGAGGTGCGCAAGCACGTGTGGACTGACAGGGGGGACTCGGTGATGCACTCGTATCTGCGGCGGATGCGGCCGAGGACGAGGGAGCGTCTGTGTGTGCGGTGGCTGGAGTACTGGCTGGAGCAGCGTGAGGTGCTGGGTAGGGGGTCGATTGCTGCCGAGAGGGCGCTGTTTGAGCGGATGGTGGATGATGTGAGGCAGGAGAGGGGCAAGGGAGAGGGAGAGGGAGAGGTGCGGACGCTCGATGATATGAGGTGAGCCAGACACAGAGAGCTCAGATTCTGGTTGGTTGTTCTGTGGGTCCACTCGGGTGTTGTCTGTCTGTCGTCCTGTTGTGTGTTGTGTGTTCAGCAGCGTTGGCGATGAGAGCGCTCCTGCCCACGGCCGTCCCCTGGCCATGCCTCTGATGGACGATTCCATCAGGAGAGAGGGCATGAAGGTTGTCGAAAAGGTAGGTAGGAACCACAACACGACACACCATCACACGCATCCCTCGGCCGTCTTTCATCCGTCCCCTCTCTCTCCCTCTCTCTCTCTCTGCGTGTGTGTGTGTGTGTGCGTGTGTGTCCTCAGCTGTTTCAGCAGCTCGAAAACCAGAGAGCCGGAGGTGCCTATGCCGGTGAGCCGCACTTCCGACCCTCCCACCGCCCGTCATCCTCTCAGGCCGCTCCCCGCCCTCCCGTTGTCTACTCGCGGCCCCACACCCCCACTCCCATCCACAGCAGAAGCCCACAGAGAAAGAGCCACAACAACTCCCCCGTCCAGCCTGTCGGTCCAATGGCGCGGCGCTCTTCGCCGCCTGTGGACCGAGAGGCTTGCCGAGAGCCTGTCTCGCTGAAAGATGCTCCGCTGATGATACCCGCACCCCCGCCGCCATGCGTCGTTGACCACAATCACATGCACGAGGCGCCGGCCACGAAGGAGACGGGTGTGCTCAGGGGTCTGTTGACGACGTCGGCGAGCTCATCGGGCAAGGCGGCCGTGGTGGTGGGGAAAGATGTCGATGCCGATGGGATGCAGGGCGGACACGGGGAGGACACCAATGGCGAGGAGGAGATGGATCGTACCAATGCACCCAATGCACCCGAGAAGCAGCAGGGAGGCAGTGCGGCCATGGTGGCCGCTTGTGTGGGAGGCGGAGGGTGGTGTGTGGTGGACAAGGAGCAAGGCGGATCGGGGGCGGCGACCGATGAGCAGGAGGAGGAGCATTGGTTCATTCGCTATATGCGAGGGCTGCCGGAACAGGTGGTGGCCTCATTTGTGCTGGGCTACTGACTGATCTGATCTACCGACCGACCGACCGACCGACCGACCGACGAGCGACCGATAGATACGCAATTACTGGGAGGGAGGGAGGGAGGGAGAGAGACACAGATAGATAGAGGGCGATATGATAGCGGGGGGGATCACCATTTACTGACTGACCCACACAGAGAGATAGATAGGGTCACCCACATGTGTGTGTGTGTGTGTGGATGGATGCGTAAGCGGAGGGAGGAGGGGTGCAGGAAAGTAATGATGAGTGTAAGATAGATAGCTCTAGCAGAAGCCTGCCCGTTGCCGACGTACGTACCTCTGTCTGTCACCATCCCTTGGTCACTTATCACATCACAAAGGTACACACAGCCACTTCACTTTCCCCATATGCCAACCGTTTTGTCCTCTTATCATCGCCCCCTAGCCAGACCAGGCCAGGCCTCCCTCCTCCCTCTTTCCTTGCTTCTCCACTCACACAACGTGTCGCGCCATGTGGCTGCGTCCACGTCTGTGTGGCTACATGTGTCGACGGGTGAGTGAATGGATGGGCGCGTGCCTGTCCGCCCCATTCACTCATCAGCCGACACAGACAGACAGACAGACAGGCATGCAGGCAGGCATGCAGGCAGAGATTCCCCCCAGCGACGCGACTGTTTCATTCCTTCCTGGCTGCCCAGGACGGATGGACATGTCATGACTGAGTGGGGAGGAATGCGGTGGGTGTGGTGTGGGTGGGTGAGTGTGCTGTCTGTCTGTCTGTCTGTCTGTCTGTATTGTCTGTCTGTCGCTTGGACTGACTGCATGTGGGTGATACATACATGTGCGTGTGGGACCTGCATCCCTGTGCATGCACTGACTCAAGTGCCTGCCGTCCACGTGAGCTGAGCAGCAGCCTGGCCTGTCCAACCCCTCTCTCGGCCCAAATCGATGCAGCTCGCACTTCTTGGTGCTCCCTGAAACCGCTGCTGCTGTTGTGTGTTTCTGGAGTTTCTCGCTGAGTTGAGGGAGCCGCACACTCTCTCAGCGTCCATTCCATCCTTCTCCCTTTGTCCGTCCGTCATAGATCTCCTCTTGGTGTGTGTCCCTTGGCGACCTGCCATCCATCGGCCACCGACACGACCGACACAAACGATGCATAGCTCCTACTACGACGACTCGCGGTCCGATGCACCCGCCCATGCCCGGCACACACGCCACCGCGGCGACGATGTAGCTGTAGATCACGCAGGCGGTGTGGAGAACGGCTATGCGGTCGGGGGCTGGGAGGACAGGCGGGAGGGCGGCGGGCGCAGAGGTGAGCGAGGGGAGGGACAAGGCGACGGACAGAGAGGCCGGGGAAGGTTTCCTCATCGGTATTCAGCTGGTGCATGTGTTGAAAGGCATGCATGTGTGTGTGTGTGCGCGCGTGTGTGGTCTGTGCAGGGGGGCGTTCTGACTTGGACGACGAGCGAGACCGACCGCGAGAGCGTCAGTACCAAGCCCACCGTGACCTTGACTCGCGACACCCACGTGAGACCCCACACACACACATGCGCACCTCAACACATACCCCACTCCACTCCCTGAATGTCTCGCTGTGTGTGCGCATTCATCTGAATGTCAGTCGACCCCGAGCTCGAGCGCGACACCATGCCCGAGACACCCATGCGCAGCCACCACCACAACCGCCCAGACCCCGACCGGCGCACAACGGCAGCCAACATGCGCGAGAGCATCAACCGCCCCCGCGACTTCGGCCCGCCCATCTCGGCCGTCGCCGAGGACAACGGACGCGGCAACCACAACCAAAACCACAACCACAACCACAGCTCACGCCGTGACGACGACCGGCTGACGCGTGCCTTCAAGCTGAACCGGCAGGACTGCAAGGAGTGCATTCTGCTGATGAACCACATTAGGAAGTGGGCAGAGAACTGCCCGGACATCGGCGACTTCGGCCACTACGAGGGGCAGCTGCTCATCGGCATCTCGTCGGTCATCCTCGACGTGCTGCCCGACATGATCGTTGGCGGCGAGGACAACCCCAGTTCGACGGCGTCAAATGCGCAGATAGAGTGCCTGGCAAAGTGGCAGGATTGGTTCGGTAAGTTAACTAAGTGGCGGAGAGAGGGAGGGAGGGAGGGAGGGAGGGAGGAAGCAGATGCCGTCCTGGGTAGTGAGTGTATCTGGTGTGGTGTGGTGTGGTGTGCTGTGGTGTGGTGTGTTGTGGCCGTTATTGTGTGTTGTCAGGTGAGTTTCTGACTGACATGCAATATCAAATCGGACCGCGCTACCGCATCCCACGCACCACATTCGCCGGTGGGCAGCACACACGCACACACATTTGCCCACACCTGATGCACACTCCTTATCCCGCGTCTTCTTCTTCTTCTTCTCTCAGATCGCCGTGCCGAGGAAAACCGCCGTGCCGATGACAACGGGCCCCCCCGTCAGCAGCACCACGCCCACTCCGATGACGAGCTCGAGACTGACCCCCACAACCGCCACAACCGCCCAAACCGCCTCCGCCCCGACCGCCGAGACGATGGCATGGCCAATGCCAGCCGCCGCCACGACGACCGACAAGAGCGACGTGACGACCGTGGCACCGCGTTGTATCGTCGTGGCGATGTGGAGGACGGCTACGGCAATGGCGGCAACGGCGGCGGCGGGCGCGCAGCGCGTGAGAGGGTGGAGGAGGGGAACGGGCGGTTGGGTGGTGGTGCTGGTGTGGGTCGGCCCGAGATGGGTGGCCGCCAGGGGTACCTAACCAGCATCTCACACTCAGAGAGGGAGAGGGAGAGGGAAAGGGATTTGGGGGCTGTGCGCGAGGACATCGGGATGGATGGGGAGGGTCATGGGTATGCCACCAACGGGCGGGGCGGCGGGGGCGATAGGGGTGGTAGGGACAACCACCACAATAGCTACCGCAACCAACACAACAACCAGCATGGCGACCTCCTCAACCAGGTGCGGTGCGCATCCACAAACAGAGCCTGAGAGAGATAGACAGCGAGAGGGAGGGAACGGTCGCCACGACATCAACGTTCGAGCCCCTTTTCTCTCTCTCTCTCTCTCTCTCTGTGTGTGTGTGTGTGTGCGTGTGCGTGTGTGTGTGTGTTCAGGCGCCTTCATCACGTGCAGCTAGGGACCCTCCCCGTGTGGCGGGCGGGGGCGGGACCTTCTCGCGTGCTCTTGGCGACGTCCAGCAGCAGGGGCCACCACCCCAGACACACCAACACCAACAGCAGCAGCAGCAGCAGCGTGCGGCTCCCGTCCACGTCCAGCCCACACCCACACCCGCACCTACACCCGCACCCGCAGCAGGGCCGACCATCCAGGCCCATCCCCCACCCCCGCCCATAAGGATGCAGCCCTTCCAGCAGGCCCACATCCCTTCTGGTGGCAACAACACCAACGCCGGAGGCAACAACACCAACGGGCGATCACCATCCCCCCCGACGCAGCCCACAGCCAAGCCCAAGCAGCCACAGGGTGGCGGTGGCGTGCAGCGGGGGCCCGCTGCTGCCGCTGCTGCTGGTGGCAGTTCTGCGTCCTTTGGCATCACGCAGCACAACGCCGCTGGTGGCGGCGGGGGCGGGGGAGGGGTGCCGCGGCCACCCCTTGGCCGCGGCAGGGGCATAGACATGAACAACACACCAAACAACAACAACAATAACAACAATTCACAGCCCACAGGTGGTTAGCACACAAAGTCACAGCACACACTCAGACACACACACACACGACCAGAGAGAAAAGGCGAAACCATCTCTCTCCCTCTCGCTCGCTCTCTCTCTGTGTGTGTGTGTGTGTGTGTGCGTGTGGCAATCAACAGGGTCCGGAGCCGGACGTGGTGCCCACATGAACACCCCAGCCTGGATGGTGGAGCAGCAACGCCGCAGCACGCTGCGGCGGATGCTGGAGCGGGCGCCCATGGCCGTGGGCCTGCGCAACGGCTCAATGCCTTCATCCATCAGAAACCAATGCTTCGAGCTCTTCCCCGAACTGCAGAACAGCGTGGAGCGGCTGCAGCAGCTGCTCGACCAAGAGACGGCAAGGATGCAGCAGGAGCAGCAGTCGGCGCAGCAGGCGGAGAACCCCCAGGGCGGATAGATAGACTGTAGCGACGGCTGTGTGTGTGGAAGTGTGTGTCTGTGGGTGTGTCTCTGTGGGTGGGTGTGTGTCAAGGGGGCCGCCGGGTGGCTGCGGTGCGGGTGTGTAGGCAGTGAGGGAGTGCATTGAAGCCGCAGCGGTGAGTGGCTGGCTGGCTGGCTGGCTGGCTGTGGGTGTAGCTGTGTGGCTGGCTGGCTGTTCGGTCTTCCTGCTTAGCTACCTGCCTTTTAAGCGACGTGTTGCGTTGCGTGTGTGCACCCGTGTGTGTGTGTATGTGTTGGTGACACTCTTTCACTCTCACTCTCCCTCTCACTCCCACTCTCATTCACTCTTCTCCTCTGTGTCCGTTCATCGCGTCTGCGGCGTCTGTGTCGGTCGAAGGTGTGGGGGCGTTCAGACTCGGTTGCGGACACACACGTGACGTGACGTGACAGAGTCCATGCGTCCGGATCCTCACAGTGAGTGCCACACCAGACAGAGCAGGTAGACAGACAGACAGACAGACAGATAGCAACACCAACCATCCATCCATCCGCCCACCCCACGCACCCACCCGAATCACAACCCGTTTTTGGCCTGCTGCCTGCCTGCCTGCGTGTCTTCTTGTGTGTGTTCGTGTGTGCCTGCCTTGCTTGCAATGGGTACGGTAGGTACGACACACAACAGCCTCCTGCAGAGAGCTCGCCTATGTCTGCCTGCCTGCATTGCCTGGTACTGGTGGACGGACGGATGCATAGACAGATAGACAGGGCGGGAGGGAGGGAGGGAGGGAGGGATCGCACATCTAGCTCGTCATGTGTTGGCTGCGCGGTGGCGTCTTGACCGGTTCGCGCGAGTGCCGTTGCGTGGGCGGGTCGGATCCATGCTGGTCTTTCCACCACAGGGGCCAACCGGTTGTCGACGTTGTCGCGCAGCGAGACACTCGCGTGAGACGGCAAGACACCGGGAGGGAGGGAGGGAGAAGACATGAATGTAGCAGTAGCTAGCCTGGCTGCCTGGCTGGAGGGCTGGATGGTCGTCTGGGTGAATGCTCGCTCATTCGCTGCTATGTATTTGGGTGTGATAGACCATGCCTGCCTCCGATATCTATCACCATCTTATCTATCTGTGGTGTGTGTCTGTGTCACTGTCCTTCTCTGTTTTGGTGCGACGTGATGACACGATTTTGCGCGACGGATGACCACCTGTCGCGTGAACCCATGTCGTCACGCCGCACACCACAAGCAGAGAACGACACACCCACACACCCACCCACACACACACAGAGAGAGAGAGGGAGGGAGAGAAGGGTGGATCGACCGTCGCTCGTTTTGTGTGTTCTGTTTTGTTGTTGTGCGCTGACTGGCTGGCACCATCGATCTCTAGCTAGCTGAGCTGCCATGTCTGTAATTGTCTGTGTATACCGGAACGAGCCCTTTTATGTAGCACGTCTGTCCGTCTGTCTGTCTGTCTGTCGTGTGTCCGGCTGAGTAGACTGCGCATGGAAGGAAGCATAGCATCCACGAGACAGACTGAATACCTGAGCAGCTGAGCGGATGAACCAATGGATCGATCAAGCAATAAGCAGCACAACACACAGCGAGCAGCCCACCCACCCACCCACCCACCCACCCACACACAGCGAGCAACTAATGGCAAAGCCAGCTTCAGTCAGTGCTTCAGTCACCTCAGGTGTGGTAGTGCTGGAACCTCTGCGCCAGGTTGCCGCCGAAGAAGTGCAGCTCGCCCACCCGCGACAAGAGAGCCGGGTCAGACGCCACCACAGCCTATATCCGACACGACACACACACACCCAACACACGCACATCCATCCATCCATCGGCCATCTCTGACCCCATCAATCCACTCACTCTCGCCCCACTGGCCCACCCACGTACCTTAATCTCTTCCATCACAGCCCGCCTCAGCACGTCCATATCATCACCCCCACCACCGCCCATAACGGTCTCCCGCTGCCGCCTCACGGCCGTCTCGCTGTATCCCATCTGTGCCCTCTCCCTCCGTCGGATGTTTGTCTGCGCCTTGTGGATAAACTCGAGGCCCCCTGGGTGGGCCATGTGTGGCGGGGGGGTCTCGTCCACAGTGGCACGGTGCTGCTGGGGCGTCCGGGTCATCTGCCATGCGGTGTGCAGCGCGTCGAGCACCTTCTTGGCATCTGGTGGAGAGAGGGGAGAGAGGGAGGGAGACATGCATGACACACAGACAGACAGACAGACAGACACGTGTGTGTGGGGGGGGTGACCGTGACCTACCAAGAAATTCGATGACGTGTCTGCCTGAGACTCTCCTGTGTGACGAGACTGGCTTGCCGGCCGGATAACGTCGCCTCTGTGGTGTGCATCCGACAACCATCACACACACACACACACATACACACAGAGGGTGAGGGAGGGAGGCAAAGAGAGACACAGACGTGGGCCCATGTCATGTGTGTGGTGCAGTGCACGTGAATGAGTCCATCCATGTCTGTCTGCCCGCCGCACCTTTCTGCGTCTCTTTCTCTGCTTTTTGCGAGCAACGTTCCTGCAGAAACAAATGGACATCGGGTGATCCATGCAGGCAGCGAGTGATCCATCGGGTGACGCGGGGTGTGTGTGTGTGTGTGTGTGTGCGTGTTTAGGCGTACGCGAGTGCCTTCCTGACGCGGTGCGTCAGCTCTCCCCATAGAGGATGGTTGGGGGAGTGCTGCGCCTTCTGCAGGCAGGCACACACACACACACACACACGACAGCACACACAAGGCACAATCAATGAGGTGAATGGAGAACGTTCAGATTGTGCGAGGCACCTCTAGCGAGTCCCGGATGTAGGCAGGGAACTTGCTCATCTTCTGACGCGCACAACCAACCCCAACACACACACCACACATATGCATTTCCGCTCTCTGTGCCACCACAATCAGACACAGTCCTACCTACCTTATCAAACGCCGGCCTCTGTTTCCTCAGCTCCTCCTCCGCCCGCCGTCTCACCACCGACCTCACCCCCTCGACCCGCTCGCGCATCGCCCCGCCCACCCGGCACTCATACACACCGCTCACACGACTCGGCAGCTCGCTCATCGTCACCTCAGACGACAGACCTGCCAGCGCCGTCCACTCACCCTCAGCATCATCATCAGCAGCAGCAGCAGCAGCTGCCGCTGATGGTGAGGCGGAAGACGGCTGTTTGCTGCTGACAGGGGGAAGGAAGGGCTGCCCTGCTGCTGGTGTGTGTGTTGGTGGTGGTGATGGTGGTGGTGTGGGGGGTGACTTGGCCGCGATCAAAAGGCCTTCTGGCGGGATTGGGACGTCTGGCTGTGGGGGCGGGGGTGTAGGTGGCTGTGGAGCTGTTGGCGGCTGTGGGGGTGGTTTGGAAGGCGGTATGTAGTCCCGAGACGCCGGACGGCCCTGTGGTGTACAGGTTTAGCTAGTTATCGTGGACACAGACCCCTATATGTTTTCATTTCCCGTCTGGCTAGGCTGCCTGCTCGCTCACCTCAAGGGTGTATGTCTTCGGCAGCTTGCTGTCAGGCTCTCCTCCCTCTCTGCTCCTCGATCCTTCCCTAGACATCGTAGGAACACCCCATCTCTTAGCCCCCACCGAAGCTCCAGCACCACCAGGAACACCAGGAACACCAGCAGCAGCCGCCCGGTGCCCCTTCACTGGCGGCAGGTCCCGGCCCATTGCCCGTGCGGAGAGCATGGTAGAGCTCTTTCCCCGCTGAGACAGCACAAGCCGCCATTGCGCCTTCGCTGCTGCGTGTAAGGCCAGTGCCGGCACCAGCGGCATTGCCTCGCTGCTCCTCTCCTTCTCTGTGGCTCTTGATGCTCTTCTTGCCGCGGCTTTTGCCAAGTGTGGGGGTGCGTTCGGTGATGCTGCTGCTGCTGGTGTGCGTTTGTCCGGCTGCTGCTGCTGCTGCATGAGATCGTCGCCCCTGGCGGAGCTGCCCTGGTCTTCTGTGAGGGCACCGTGGGAGCGCTGCTTGCCGAAGGGCAGGTTGTCGTCTGAGGCGTTGGACGACACGGGCACCGTCACGGGAGTGGTCCTACCTGCACACACAACACAACACAACACAACACGACGCCAGGCACCACACCCAGCGATGGATGGAGAAAGGGCGGCTGTTTCCCTCTCTCTGTGTCTCTTTCTTTCTCAGTCACACACGCAACGCACCAGGCGAAACGCGTTTTGATCGGGAGAGCGGCTCCACAAAGAGCATGTCAGTCGTCAGTGCATCGGCCGGCAGACATGGGGCCGGGGCTGAGAGGGGCAAAGGCGGCAGGGGGGTCCGCTTCGGCCTGAAGATGTTGATTCGCTCGGGAAGCTGCTGCTGTAGTTGGTGGTCGGCTGCTGCTGGTTGTTCCTCGGCTGATGATGTTGCTGGTGGCGCTGGTGATGGCGTCTTTGCTGGTGCTGTGCTGGTCAGGCCCCACCGTCTGGTCCGGTGGCGCCAGCCGTCTGTGAGCAGAGCAGACAAACAAAAGAGGGAAAGTTGTGTTGGTATGTGTCCCCACCCACCGAGGTGTGTACTGCCCACCTGAGCGTGTGAGTGATCCCAGAGGCACGGCAATGATGCCGATCCTCTCCCCCTGGACACCCTGCACCATGTCGATCTCGCCCCGCTCCACCTCCTTTCTCTCATTGTCCTTTTCCTGCTCCCCCGTCTGTTCCTTTGTCGGCGTCTTGGCCTTGGCTCCCATGGTCGCCCCCTTGTGCAGCTTCAGCTGCTGCTGCTGTTGTTGCTGCTGAGCCATCCGGTGAAGGAAAGCTATGTCTCTGCAGAAGCAAACACACACACGTAGACACAGGGAGACATCACGCCCTGCAGTGCACCCCAACGCACCTCTGTATGCCATAGAAGCGAGGATCATCCGGCGCCACGGACAGCTTCGCCGCGATGGCCGATGGCGAGGCCGACAGGGCCTGCCCGCCCCTGTGTGTGCTTGCCCCACCCGGCGGGGTCTCGCCAGGCGTCAGTGGGGCAAAGAGCTCCAGTGCGCGGACATCCTGCGTCATCCCGTGAAGGGACCCCTGTATCACGCTGAGCACTCCATCAAGCCGACCGCTCCTCCCGGCCCTCTCCTCTCTCCTGCCATCCCTCCTTCCTCTGTCTCTCTCCGGCTCGCGTGGTGAGGCGGCTGGTGATGGGCTGAGGCGCCCTGTGGCTCTGAGCCGGCGTGAGAGGTAGATGTTGCCGGGGGACTTGGGGCGGTTGAACCTGAACTGGCGGCCCATCGCCGATAGGGAGAGGGAGGGCGAGGTGGCCGACCGACGAGGAGCTTCGGACGAACCCGGCAGGTACTCCACCAGATCCACCAGAGTTGGCTGCACCCACACACAGAGAGGCACACAGAGAGGCCGCAATGCATCAATCGCGGAAACACACAGACGGAGAGGGTGACCCTCACTGACCTCGATGCACTGAATGTCATCAATGTCTCTCCAGCCCGTCGTGACCCTCCCCCTCGCCGTGGTGCATGCCAACCAGCACCCGTTGATGAGCAGCAGCAGCTCGCCTGCAGTCGCATTCTCCTTCCCAGGCAGCCACACGCGGCCGAGGCGGAAGAGAAAGGACGCCAGGTGCTCGCGCGACAGCACCTGCTCATCGGGCTCGCCCGGCCGGCGGAGGGTGACCTTGTTCTCCTCGTTGGCCCAGTCGCCTTCGGCTGACCGAACTGCCGACGCGTGGTCGAAATCTGAACACAAGGTACGTCACCATGGTTCAAGGTTGGTCGTGCCGTCTCCCTCTCGGCTTCTCACACACACTACCTCTGACAAGGCATTTCTGCAGCCGCACGTTGAGGGCGATGTAGTCCCGGTGGAACAGGGCCTCCCGCCGCCACCTGCCCCGGCCCCTCCTGCCCTTGCCGGTGACCACATGGAGCTTCGACACGTGGGGCGGGCCCTTCTCCGGGTGGTGTTCGTGTTCCTCCTGGTGGTGGGTGTCCACGGGTGTGGCCACGAGCCTCCACCACCTGCTGACGGTCTCGTCGAGCGAGATTTCCATCAGCTTGGCGTCAACAGCCATTTGTCCGACAGTCGAAAGAGTTTCCTCGAGCTTGCAATGGTTTCGGTGCAAGGAGGCGGTACCAGTGCTCGCCGGGGAGTCCAGCCGTTCTCAGGATCCCGCCTCCACGGTCTCTCTCTGCAAGATCGCCTTTCAGCTCGCAACTGACACCAGACAAAGGAGAGCAAAAAAAACCCTTTCTGCAGCTGGGCAACACCGCCGTGGGCCCTGCAGCCAGCTAGAGGGGAGGATCGGCCTTCTGCAGGAGTCTTGGCGTGAGGCAGGTCCCGGAGGCGGGCTCTTCGGCCGTGCCGTGTGCTGGGCGTGTTTGTGAAGATGCAGCGGTTACGGCCATGCAACACGACCTCCCGCAAGAGCGGGATCCATTTCATTATGATGGTCGTCGCACTCATCGGTAGTACCAGAATGACAGACAGACAGGCAACAGACAGAGGCGATGATGATGATCTCTCCCTCTCTCTCTCTCTGTGTGTATGGGTTTGCTGTGTGCGTGTGTGCCTTGCATTGATTGCATTGCATTGGTGCAGTGTTTGAGTATTTCGTGTTTATGTTTTGCATCATGCCTCAATGGTTCAGGACGGCCTGGGGCATCACCCTCCTCTTGGTCTTCCACGGCTTCTTCCTACTCATGCTCCTCGCATTCTGCCAGGCAGGCACAACACCTCTCACACACACACACACACACACACATTGCTGGGCCGACGGGCTGATGGATGGATGGGTGCGCTCTCTCTCTCTCTCTGTGTGTGTGTGTGTGTGTTCATTCAGTCTGTCATGACAGATCCGGGTGTGGTGCCGCCCAACTGGGGGTTCTACATGGGTGACGAGACCAAGAGGCGGCGGTACTGCAAGATGTGCAACGTGTGGAAACCTGACCGCACCCACCACTGCTCCATCTGCAACAGATGGTACGTACGGCGGTCGCAGGCACCACACACACACACAGACAGACAGACAGACAGACAGGGAGGGAGGGAGTGTGGCTGCTTTGCTTGATGGTCTATCTGTCGGTGAGTTCATTCATCTCATTCATTCAGTGTGTTGAACATGGACCACCACTGCCCATGGATCAACAACTGCGTGGGTTTCTACAACCGCAAGTTCTTCATGCAGCTCCTCTTCTACGTCTACATCTGCCTACTCGTCACCACCAGCACAGGGTGAGTAGGGTGGGTGGGCATCTATGAGATCATCCCATCCCACACACATGCATGGGATGACATGGGTGCGTCTGTCTGTCTGTCTGGGTGTGTGTGCAGGATAGCGTGGATCGTGCTGCGGGTGCTGTTCCTGATCAAGATGCAGCAGCCCATCAGGTTCATCGAAATATGGGACGTCTGTGTCCTCGTGGTGAGTGAGTGAGTAGTGAGTAGTGGGATGATGCCTGCCACACACAGGCAGGCAGGACACACAGACCAGACCAGACCAGACCGACACACGCCTGCTCTCTCTCCCTCCCTCTCTCTCTCTCTCCCTCTCTCTCTCCCTCTCTCTCTCTCTCTCTCTCTCTCTCCCTCTCCCCCTCCGTCTGTGTGGATGTTTGTCAGTCTGCGATGCTGTCGATTGTCTTGTTGTTCGCGCTGACCAACTTCATCAAATTCCACGTCAGGCTGGTCCTCGAGGTCAGTCAAGTCAGCCATGCTCCCGTGTGTGTTTATCTCTCTCTCTCTCTCTGTGTGTGTGTGTGTGTGGTCAGAACTACACGACGATTGAGAACTTGGAGCGTGACGCGTCGCAGAGGTCCAAGTACGACATCGGCTCAAGGCGGAACTGGGAACAGGTACCTACCTGCAACACACACACTGATGGAATGGACCACATACGAGATGAGATGCGACGAGGTGCGTGTGTTGTGTAGGTGTTTGGTTCCCACATCCTGGGGTGGATGCTCCCCTTCCACACAACAATATCGCGACCATCAGGTGAGGTGGGTCGGTGACTGACACGGCACGCGAACACACACACACTCGCACACAGAGAGACAGACAACAGGAGCCCGCCCGCACACTCACTCTCTCCCTCTCCATCTCCCTCCCTCTGTGTGTGTGTGCAGGTGATGGTGTGCGTTGGCGCGTGCACTACACTCGAGTGGTGGACGAAGACGAGGAGCAGCACGGGGCCGGCGGGTGATCGATCACTCAGCTGACCTCCCCCCCTCCCCCCTCCCTCCTCCCTCTCCCCCCCAAGGCCGTCTTGCCAGCAATGCTCTCCCATCCTTCTGTCTGCCTACATCCTCTCTCTCTCTGTATTGTATATGTCCATTTCCCTCAGTGATTGATTGATTCAACGAAGGTGGCGTGTGCGTGCTTGTGTTCATTTGACGTGCGTGGCGTGGATGGAGGCAGGTTGGAAGGTTTCTGAGTGAGTTTGTGTCTGTCTGCCTGTGGTGTGCTTGAGCGGTGTGGTGTGGCGTCACCTCTTCTGGTTGACAGGGATGGTGAGACAACATTGTGTGGTCAGTCGATTGCATACAGTCGTATTTTTGAGGCGGGCCACCCACACACACACACACACACTCACCACTCGCTCATCCATCCATTCATCCATCCATCCAGACCTACATGGAAGCTGGCGAATGGATGGATGTGTTGAAACGTTCCGTTCCTTTATATATCACCATGTCTGTCTGTCTGTCGCTCGCTGCCCGCCTCCCTGCGGTTTTCTTTGAGAGGCGATGTGCACAATGTTGGCGTGCTGTGATTACGAGCATGCCAATCATGGAATGGAGTGGCGTGTGCGTGTTTTGATTGATCTAACTAAGGGGGTGGGTGGAGGGACGTCTGTGCTGTGTGCTGTGTGCGGTGTGTGTATGCGTCTGTGTCTGTGTGGGTGTATATGGCTGGTTGAGAAAGGGTGAGAGACCTCCCGTACATATATCGATACATCCATGGTGGCATATATATGCTAATTCAAATGCTCCCTTACGCTTCTCGCATAGAGTGAGTCCACACACACTCACTACTAGCGCACACACAGGTGTGGTGTGTCTCTGATTCATCGCTTGCTGCACCGCACTGATGCAGCCCAGCCACACAGACAGACACAGCCGATCATGCCGATCATGGTACACCACCCACCCCACCCCACCCCACCCACCCACCACCCACTCCTCCGCTGATGAAAAAACTTGCCCAAGTCATCCATTCAATCTGAGTGTTCCGGCCTCACGTGGCGCTGCAGCGATCGACGTCATCAGCTGTCGGGCTCAGATCCCCACAGCCAACGACGTCATCCGATGCTACGCCAAGTAAAGCGAGAAGCACACGAATGCGAGAGCAATCGCAGGCAGACCATCAAGTATGTTGCAGCACATACAACAACCAAGACGACCCAAGTCGATTCGCTACTCGCTCAGAGCCGTGTGTGTGTGTGTGCATGTGATCCCTGTGTTCCATCTCTTCCGGCTGGCGACTGCGACGGTTCCACACGGCACTTGGAGGAGAGCGCCGTGCGAAGCCAACGCAGTGAGTGGCCCACCGAAGAAATGAACTCACGGGTGACCTGACCACTCACGCGAAGATACGCCACCAGACTACCTCACACACAGCCAGTAGCGTAGCAGCACCACACCACACCACATCACAGACCAAGCGCAAACCGATAGATACACCGCCCCTCCCTCCCTCCCTCCCTGCCCGCACAGACAGACAGACAGACAGATCAGTATCCCTTCATGACGCCCGGTCGCCAGGCCGGGAATGTGCCCCACGGGTATCCTCTGCCCCACGGTCGACCTCCTCCGCCCGACCAGGGGGTCGACGACTTCCACCAGTGGAGCACGTTGAGGTTGTACAGCACCACACAAATCAACGTGAAGGCCGACCCGCCCCAGAAAATGATCCACCCGCCGTATGGGTGGCTGCCCACGCTGAGCCAGTTGTCCTCTCGCACGCCCCACTTGTCGTTGTCCATGTTCGGGCCAGTGCGGTACACCATCTTGGGCGAGTTGAGGCCGTTCAGACGGTTGCCCATCAGGTTGTACTCCATCTCCACCGGGCTGAGCGGACCGGGGTTGGGGGAGTGATACTCCTCCTTCGGGTAGTAGCCCAGCGGCTTGTCGACCACCTTCATCGGGGGACCGCCCGCGCCGAAGCGACGCACGGATGCGGCGAGTGGCGCGAAGAGGGGACGGGGCGAGGCGACAGTGGTTGTGCGCGTCAAGAGGGATGAGCAGGCCTTGCTGGCCATGGCGCGGTTCGTGCACCGCAGCCGCATTGGTGCCCTGGGTCCTGGAGCAAACCCTTGACCCCAAACCCTACATGATGTGCCGATCGGATGGCCGATCGGTCGTCGAACACATTGGGTGATTACCAAAAACACTGATGGATGGATGGATGGATGGATGGATGGATGGATGGATGGATGGATGGATGGACGGACGGGGTGGTGGTGGTGTCTGCCTGTGTGTGGAATCACACACACTGTGGATGGATGTGATGTGTTCATATGTGTTCATGTGCTTGAGTGAATGGACATTTGTTGATTGTTGTGTGCGGTGACATGACGGTGACAGGGACATTCTATGAGTCAATCAGCAATGAATCTCGATTGCCAGCAATAGCCATTTATTGCCAGCAATGGAAGGCACCGACGGCAATGGGGGTCCATTGCCAGCAATGGACCTTCATTGTGCGTGTCTTATAGCGCCGGCACGGTTAGAGAAAGTAAGGGCACCAGACATGATCATGATGATTGCAGGATGATCTCACGTCTCCACACATTACATGCAGTGCAGCACTCACACCGCCTCCGTCCCGTCGCTCCCTTGGGTCCCGGCATCCGTCTGCCCTGAGGCTCTCTGTCTCGCATTTGAAGCATCGTTTCTTCTCAACAGAGCGTATGCTTTGCTCTGACAGAGAGAAGGGTTGTTTACCAGGGTCAGTGCAAGATGCCACCGATTCCTGGCTCGCCGGTGAGCTGCCACTCTTTGCTCGTCCTCGGGAGGAATCGTATGACGTCTCTTGCCTTCGGCCGACAGCAAGGTCACTGCCGTGCGGGCGATTGGGTTGAACTCCTCGTGGGCGAGATACAACGCGCCCTGACGAAAGGATACGGAAGAGACACAATGATGCCTTTCTGTTGATGCCTCTCTGTTGTCCGCCTCGTACTAGGAAGGAAACGTATGCTGGGTCCCTGATTTTCGTTCAGTACAGATCCACACACACACACACACACATATGGAGGGCAGAGAATGACCATTAGCAGACACCCTCTCCTGTGATGTCTCAGACACGAATGTCTCACCAGTTCCGCGCTGACTTCGGGAACAATGAGTGGCCCGGTTGAAAGACCAGGATAACTCCAAAGAAGATCCCAGCGATGATCGATATCACCCCCATCAGCAGGCCATAAGCGAAGTTGACCACGATGATCGCCACATACATGACCGCAAACAGGCGGGGTCGCCGAATGCTGTTGCTCTTGTCCATCAGCACGAACCGCAGCAGCAGTGTCTCCACGAAGAGGTACTTGAGGACCAAAACGACAGCCAAGAAAATGAGGTAGTAGGAGACAGCGGAGATCGCTCTCCGCCTGAGGGTCGTGTCGGCATAGACAACGCTCAGCCCGGCGCAGATGAGGCCTATGATGATGTGCACTGTCCAGTACGAAAGGATGGTGAGAGTGTACCTGACAGATCAGCAAGGGACACAAGACAAAAGGGGAGAATATGGCTTGCTTCCTTCCAGCGTGCCTGCTCTTATAATATGCCCACGAAGAAAGAGGCTGACGCGTAGGCGGTGCTCCCAAAGAGCTTCCTGATCACTCTGTTCGAACGAAATGGTGACACCGTCTCTCCTCGCGCAATCCTCACCAGCATCTCGCTATGAGAACGGGTCACTTGCACGCACAGGAGAACCACACACAGCGTCGCAACCACGTTCGATAGGTGCAGCCCGAGCCGCAGTATGCGAATCACCAGCCGGCAATCGAGCGACACCGACGCATAGGAGATTTTCATGGCCTCGTCACCGAAGCTGGACAGAAGCCCTCTCAGCCCCTCCGGCAATGCGCTGCGCAACAGGTAGGACACCGCATCCTGCTGTTGCTTTGCCTTCTGCTTCGCGGCTTTCTTGAGCACCTTCTCGTCCTTCTGGCCGAGTGCTGGGTCTTTCAGCTTGTGGACGGCTGAAAGAGTGCGGGCGACAGAGGAAAACTGTTCTGGAGAGCCGTCTTGAAGGAACAGCGAGAAGTGTTCCAGCGCCTTGCTGTCTTGCAGCTGCTCCGACTGGTCGACGGGGGCCGCAAGGGCGGTGGGAGACATAAGCCGCGTCTTCTGGTCTCCGATCAGACAGTCCCCGATGGCCGAACTGAATGCAGTGGGCAGCTTCACGGCTGCAAGCCCCTTAAAAAGCCGCGTTGCCGTCTCCTCCACGTCCTCGAGCCGCTGCATGTTGAAATTCCGCAGGAAGTCCACCAAAGAGGACTGCTGCTCCTGCGTCAACACCTCACGAGACTCTCCTGGCAAGGGACCGGTGAGTTCCGGCACGGTGCTGTCGATAGGGGATGCCGGGGTGAGTGGCACCGAAAAGAGGCCAGTGAAGCATCGGTGGAGGTCCGATGCTGTGAGTCGGTGGCAGCCTGCTTGAGAAGGTCGCGCTCCGTCTTGGGGCCGAGGATTCTTGCGAGGGAGAGCGATGCGCTCAGGTCCATCAGGCGCACTTTGTTGTTCAACATGTCGTGTCTCGCGTAAGCCAGCTTCTCGGCAAAGTAGCGGTTGTCTTTGTCATCACTCGCGGAATCGTAGCTCGGCAAGGCTTCAAAGAGGGCACGCCATTTGGTCTGCTTGACATGCACGGATGCCCACGCCTCTGCCTGATCTGCCATGGCCATCGAGCCCACATACAATCGCTCCACATTCAAACTCATCTCTGACACAAAGAACAAGGACACGGGTGGATAATGCCATATGTGGCTTGTTTTTTGGGCTACGTAGTGCTCTCTTGAGCAGCTCCAGTCCGCAGAAAGTGTAGGCGATCATAATGAGGGTCGAGAGAAATATGGGCAGCTTAGGGGCCAGCACCCGTCGTCTTCCCCTGCTCCACTGCTCCACGTCTCTCTCCCTAGCCGGCTGCTGACGCACTCGGGCAACGCCGATCGATGCCCCGTGTGGGGAAGATGTCGCAGAATGGCCCTTGCCGTCAACAGCAGGGGAAGATGCGGTAGCAGCTTCGGCAGCCACGGGAGCGTCCTCTGCCTCTCGCTTCTCGACGCTCTCGCCTTGAGGCTGCTGCTGGTCTGCCCCCGGCGGCACTTTTCGTCTTTTCATCCTCTGCAGGAAGGCCAGTGGTGAGGACGGTTCTGGCTGTGGCTCGAGGACGGGCTTCTGAATCCGCTTCTCGGTGTAGCTGCGGCTCTCACTGTTGATGGCATTGCGGAACCAACAGGATGGTGCTTGAAGGAAGACGACGTAGAGCAAAACGAACAGTAGAAGGAACAAGAAGCAGAGCTGCCCAAAGTCGGCCAGGAAGCATGATCAACCAGAGGCAACAAAATGATGCACTACCACCGCGAAATGCTCTTTCTACATCCTTACCTCTGTAAGTCATGAAGGAGCTTGTGGCTCTGAGACGGATACTCAACTCATGACCCCCCGGCACGAAAAGGCTCTCGAACCACCCCACAAAGGCGTCAAAGCTCTCGAACCACCCAATCGCCACGTCGCCGAACCACCGCATGACGCCGCCGACAAACATGAGGTCCGGCGCGTCCGCCACAGCTACCAGCAACCTTGCCACCAACAGCAGCACCACAAAGGGCAGTGGGATAAGGAGAAAGAATTTGTTGATGAAGATGTTGTTGCCAATGTAGATGATCAGGAAGAGCATCAGCAGCGAGGCGAACAGGCAGATGTGGAAGTAGACAACCAGGGGGTTGGGGCGAGCCTGGATGTAGACGGCGAACAACTGCATCAGGAGGTCGAACAGCGACGCCATGACCACCGCAGGGATCAATCGAGATTTGATCTTGCTCGAGGTGATGTCGAAGAAAACCACACATCACGACGCGCCCACGCGCCCTCCTTCGGCGGCTCAGTGTCTCGAACAGTCTTGCCGCCACCCAACCGTTCGGTCAGCTCCCGCCATATCCGAGACACAAAGGCGATGATGCCGACCGTAGCTGATGGGGAAACAGCAAGCTCACCAGCCCCCGGCTATGATCTTCTCTGGTTCCACAAGAAAATGAAGACAAAGACAATGACGGCGACTGTGGCGAATGACGCGAGGATGGAGGCGCGAAGCCAGAGGGGCGGCCGATAGGAGAAGGCAGGCGTCTCGAAGGCCTCACTAATCGTCTCTGAGCCCTCCTGGAGGTCACCCAGCACATCCACTGAATACACACACAGACACTTAATATTTTTCAATATTCTGCGCACACGACTTTCTTACTGAGGTGTCCCTTGACTTCGCGGTATACGCTGTCGTATTTGCTGAGAAGTGAAGCAGCAACAGACACATGGCTGCCCATTGTCTGCGCCATCGCCTTCATCAGCTGCACCAAAGTGTCCGTATTAGCAAAGGCCCACTGCGCTGACAGAGCACACACATAACGGCGTTTAGTGTCTTACAGGGCGCTCTTCCGTAGTGCGTCTGGTCCCCTCACCAAATGTGTCGGTCATTATGGTGTCAACGATAGAGTTTGATCCAAACATTGGAACGATGCGCGCTGTTGTGGTCCTGTAATCTCCCGAAACAGTGAGCCGCCACTCGCCGAACAAGGCCCCGTCGCCCGTCTGCAAGGCATACGCCAACACCATCGGTTGATCTGCTGGGCTTGCCGTCGCCTGATGCACTTCGATCCACCCAAAGGTGTCCCTGACGACATTTTTGGCCCAGAGGAGGTGCTTCTCCGTCAGCTGCAGGACCATCTTTTGCCATTCGTCCATCGACCGTGATATCTCTGTCTCGAGCATCGCGGACCACTCGTCGACTTTGTAGGACAGGAAGCCCTGAAGCTGATGGAGCCCCAAGTGTGCAGGGATGGCAAGAGCGTGCTGCTGGTCTTTCTCTGAATGAGCGAGGATACCACTGATGCTCTCCATTATGGCGGTCTTGACTGCTGCTGGCATGTCTCCCTCCCTCAGAATGCCTTCAAGGACCTTATAGATGCCCGCGGTCCGTTCCGATGTGTCTTGTTGTAGCTTAGAGGAGACAGCTGTAGTCAAAGCGGGCAGGTCCTTCATATGTGGCAAGGAAATGTCCGGCAGTGTCACAACCAGCCCGATCAGCTGCTCTTTCGCATCATCAGCCGGCTGTCTCGTCTTTTTGCCGAAGAGGCCCTGTCTCCTCCATATGACAAATGTCTCCGCCAGCACGTGGGAGAGTCTGATGTTCGCTGCACGCCGCATTCTGTCGATCGAAAGCAACACCTCATCGAGGCTGTTGTCCGCCAGGGAGGGCGGCAGAAAGAGTCTCTCCCAGTGCTGCAGGGAGTGCGTTAACGACGCCAGCGCTTCCTCTGAACTGTCGGTGGTTTTCATGGCTTTCTCGGCCACAGACTTCACGGATTCCATCGTATTCTTCTGCCATTCTCTCAGGGCCCGATCGAGATGTTCCTTCATCCCTGGTACTTCGCTTAGAAGAGGGAGATCGACCTTTTTTCGAGCAAATGCGAAAACCGAGTTGACAAGCCTTCTTCTCCACCCCTCAAACTGCTTGATGTTGCCTCTCAGCTGGCTGGATAGACCGTCGTAGTCGTCATCGGGCAAGATGGCGAGCCACTCCTTGATTCTCGCCACGGAAGGAGACCCCTTCAGCCTGGCCCACAAGGATGACAGTGCATCGTCTTTCTCTTCGGCCGCCGCCCTCCGGAGATCGGATGCCTGCCTCATGTGTTCCTGAGATTCGGCGGAAGGATACACTCGTTGCTCACTCAAGAGCCAGCGGAGCTCGAAGAGAGACGAGGGGTATCTCGGCAGCTGCACCAACCAGTGCCGCCTGTGGTCGCTGGGGGCTTCTTTGTGGTCGATGGAGGTTTCGTTGCTCTTCACCATCACAATGCTCCTTCGGCTGACGCCGATGGGGTAGTCCTCTCGCACGCCAGCTTCCTCACAGTCCGTTATGGCGTTGATAAGCTCAGGTGTGGCGTAGACGGGCGAGTGGCCGGCCAGCCTTGGCCTCGTTGCAATGGACTCGTTGACTTGCGAGAGGTCATCGAGACGCAGATAAGGGCCGCTTGCGAAGTCGATGGGCACCGGGGCCTCAAGCATGATGAGCTCCGGAGCGTTGCCGCCTCTGGGGTCATCAAGGTGTTGAAGTTGCTGTGTGCCGAACACACACCGTGGTCAGAAGGATCAATCTCTGCCGTACAAGCCTTTACGCAAGGCACGCAACGCACGAGTCCATCATGGGCATGGCCAGCCCGCCAAGCAAGACACGCACGAGAGCTGCCAACGCTCACCGAAGATGCACGAAATAGAAAGACATGTCTGCAAGCTAAGCACAAACC